CTTGATATATATCCAATGTTTTTTAGCTAGGACATGTATATTCTTAAATTACATTCTTCTGCGACAAAAGCCTTCTCTTCTTCATATTTCTCCGCCTAGACTCTTTCTGCTGATGTATCCATAATCTTACGCCATGTGGACCTACTTTAAGTCACATTAACCGATGAAGAAGAAGAGTATCTCTTCGCGGTATCGATTGGGACTGAATACAATGAAAGAAACCGTATAGAATGAAAGAAACTTGTAGGCAGCCTGGATGATGTGGAAAAAGTATACGTATGTAGATCCTATATGATTTACCGCACCATTTCGCCCGCGACCACCCGCCTACTATTATTACGACCTAGAGTGTTGTGCGACTTAAATTACCATTGCACATATAGAAGTACGGCCGTATGCGTCGTAGCGACGTTGATTCGAGACGCCTAATTCTGGTCAACTGTGAGATTCCTCGATGATCGTCCGCCGGTGTGCAATTCATGGAACGAAATTCTAGGGCTCTTAAAATGAGTTAACTCAATATTTCTCCTCGTTTATTCAAATAACCAGAAATGCTTCGGCCGCTCCAGATACTTCAACTCAACGAGGCCATATAGGCAGGTAGTTTCGATAGGTATATGATGCGTCGCATGTACTTCTCAAGGATGAAGATTCAGTGTCGGCGGATGCGATTACAAGGTCCATTAGCGACAACTGATGACTCATGTCGTACAACTTTGGCTTGATTAATTCATTGTACTAAGTAGCACAATGTAGAACGCAAGAAATCTAGATATACTAAGTCGCTTACGGTAAACTGTAATTATTTTCGTTCCTTTACGCAGCTTTCCTAAATACAATGGCGAATATAAGGAATTATCTGATCGCTTAATTTTAGTCGGAAGTTGCGATTTACGCAACGATTGCTCGGAATATATAGATGGAGACAAAACTATACGAAGAACATCTCATATATGAGCGTTCTTAATATACACAAGACATTTAATTGTTACAGATGATATTGCTCTACCTTCGAAAATTCATTGACAGATGATAAACATGAGATATCATTCCTGGAACGAGGTCGCTCACCTATTTATAACTGGGTCGAGAGTTGGGCAATTATTTTGGTATCTTTCTCTCTCTCCCTCGCCTCCCTCTCTCTCCTCTATCTCACTCTTTCTCCTTTTCTTATTCTTTCTCACAGTGGCGATGTTCTCGATCCCGACTTCTCTCGGGGATCAAGATCCCCCCTATACCCAAGAACGAATGTCGCCTTGAGCGAAATCACACACCTGACGCGGCCTGTAACCCGGCGGGTTCTGTAAAACAAGCTTTAAGTAAAACGAACAAAGTATTGAACAGAAAATCACGCCTATCATATATCTTTTAAATAAAAGCAAATGCTTCTTATATCCTCGATCGATAAATTAACTAGATCGAAAAATAACCGATGTTCCCATTAACGATTCGTCTATCTGGCAATGTATGAATAAATGAATAAATCAATTGGTGTCCATACTCCTGTTCTACCAGGGTGTATTACATTGCGGTATTACACTTATAACACTAAAAATTGTTATTTATAACGGAGTTATATTAACACATTCTTCATCAGCATGTTTTTCATCTTTAGGTCGCATTAAAACAAGGAAATTGACTGAAAGTAGCGAAATGCTTTATTAAAAGTTCCTCAGAACATCCCCGCAGGGGAGACAGAGAGATTTTGCTGGGCGAGTACCAAGAGAGAACAAGTGATGAGAGAAACCGGGCTCGAATATCGCAACGCTTCTGCGATACTAATTAGTCAGCCGCCAAAAGCAATTAAGCACGAGAGCAGCAATTAGATTGCGTTATAGCAGATATATCCATTCTGTACGACTATGTGACCCTGGCCGTAAGTCTTTGAAAGTCACGGGAAAGGTAACGGTGGCCTAGCGATTGTTTCGAAATCGTGGCGCTCGGTTAAGTTCAAGTTGCATGTACCAGCCGCCAGCACCTTAGTCAATGCATAATTCCTATATATGAGCCATTGAATGCATACGTAATACCAATATCTTATACATGCTATGTATTAAGGCTGTCTGATCTACCAAGTAAAAGTGCTTTTTATAAGTAAAATTATCTCACGTGAGAAATTGTCAAATTAGATGCACGCGATAATAGAAGATCGGAAAGCAAATAAAGCGTGCGATGAATGTTAACTAGCAAATTTGAAAGATGAATGATTTTGCTTATAAATAAATAGAATGTATTAATAATATATGAACAAAATATAGACCTTATTATTTATATTTCTGACATTATAAATAAGTAGAGTATATGAACAAAATATAGACTTTATCATATTTCTGACATTATAAATAAGTATATAGAGTATAACTGAGATTACTACTAGGAATGTAAATTATTCGAAATGTTTTAAATTGCTAAATGTCTCGCTAGCGTTACAGAAGAGAAATGTTTAAATTACTACGTAAAATGATAAAAAGATCATTCTACGCCAATTGACAACACAACGATATGCACACCTAATAATGACCTAGCAAATCGACCTATCACTAGAAAATCTAACCCAGTGACGCATGAGAAACTCTCGAAACTAATCATGACGTGAGAACCATACTTGGATTTAGATGCGAGTAAAAGACGCGATCGACACGGAACTTTACGACTCTCTAATAACGAGACGATGAACGCTTGGCGCTATCGACGCGGAGAAATTCCGCTTTTGTGAGCTCTAAGAACGATTTTATTCATCCGCTTGCACATCCATAACACGGGCCACAATGCTAAGTTTCATGAATTTTTTTTATTCCCTCGATGCACACCGCTTCGCATCACGTGGTACGGAAGAAATACTATTTTCTATTTTCAAAATATTACATATACTACAGATATATTTATAACAAACTTTAAATAAAACATTGACGTAAAATTCTAATTAATTATCTGAAATAAATACGAGCAAATTACTAATTATATAAAAACATAAGGATGAAAAAAAAAAAATGTACAGTAAAATAAATTTCTATTACTATACAACAAACAAGAATCTATGAATTAAGTAATTTAAATGAAAAATAATGTCTTTTATCGCAACATACAATACGAGTATATAGAGCCTTAAGTACATAATATACACTTCTTGAATATAAAATACGAAAAATGTAATACAATCGATAGAATAGCTCGAAGGGAAAAAGATACTTACTTGTTTCAATATCTTACTGGTATTAATACAACGTTGCACTCTCAGCTGTATTATGAACGAAAGTAACTCCTCTTCCTCTCGAAACAATTTCGCGTCTTTTTCTTCGTTGTCCTTCCCGCGTCGTCGTGGTCGTTGTTGTTACGGAGGAGTGTAATGATGCATGACAATCACTTCTTTAGCTCCGACACACTGCCTCCTCTTTGCGCCATTCTTATATCCCGTGCAAATAATTTATTTTTTGTCATGTTTTAATTTACTTGCAAATCTAATATATTTTCATTTAGCTACATGCTTTTTGCTTAAAGCAAATTATCTACGGATTATTATCGCGATGTCTACTACACGATAGAATCGTCTACCGATTAAAAGGAATCACAGGTCTCACTTTACTCTCCAAATGTACTATCGATTATTACGTTCTTTTCTTTTTCAATCATATATTTTTTCAGCACATGTAAATACTAATTTATCAATGTCTATATCGTCGTAATCCAACGTATTGTCCCAAAAAATATATATTGTCGAAGTAAAATTCTTTTTATTACATCAAGTGAGGTTTTAGCGTAGTGCGAGGAAGAAACGCGCTATTTTGCCTCAACCTCCTTTCCAGCTAGTTATTTTTCTTCTATGTAGGACTTAAGGACATCCGTTTCAAGAGATTTAGTTGTATGCCTATCCTCTCGACCCGATTAGGAATGACGTACGTGTGCCGCGATCTCTTCTTGACCTCCGGCCACCACGGATCGAGAAAACAATCGACTTTGCCCGGATGCACCTGAGACATGCACTTTCCCCTACAACCATCCGAGAATGCCGAGAGTCAGCCGGCATTTCCATCTCGTCGGCTCGGCTTCGAGCGGCCGCTGGCCGGATGACTCGTCAAGGAAGCAGAACACTCGCGATGTATTAACGATTTCGAATGTGCTCTTTATGCAACGCGGCCGCCGCGCAGTTTCGCTCGTGAGAAAAAAAAAGAATGTTTCGGACCTTCCTGGAAGACTGGAAAGTTGCCGCTGCTGTCGCGGTGATTTCTCTTTTTTGAAGCTTTTCTCTACAGGCTTATGAACGATTTTCGTGTTCAGCGTTAAAAATAAAAATATAAAGAGCTCCTAAAAATTAGCGAAATTCTCGAATTGAAATTGATTATCATTTTAAGATTGAAGTGCTTTCATCATTATCTTACAGAAATATCTCACCAAAAAGAAAAACTAAATATTTATTTTTAAGTATTAAAACGCGCGCGTAAATGGAAAAAAAGGATTTCAATGAATACACATTCGAATTTTTTAAATACTATTAATGAATTACATATTACAAAGCGTACGTAGCGTATAGTTTAATACTATAATATGTTGCATATACATTGTACTGGACTAGATGTAACTATGAATTACGAACCATTATATACAGAAACGTTTGTTATTACGCTAAAACTCGCGCCAAGTTGTAATACATACGTAATATCGCGTTTCGTAATTAGCAAGTTACATCTTCACCAATCATACATATTATGACTAGCTCTTTAGTTTGATTATTTATTGATCTATTTTGCATACGCGTACGCGAACGAATGTTGTTATATGTATATTTAATGTACATCACGGAAGGGCCAGAGATACCCTATTTACTATTTAATGACATAATTAATAAAATAAATAAAAATAAATATTCTTGTGATTGTATGAACAAAAATCAACGTGAGGCTTAAAAGTCATCGGACTTCTGCCAACATCCCATTCTTCCCATCGGCCATTGATTAATGAAAAAAAATAACGGAAGAAGAAAACATCAATGATCGTAGTGATCATTAGTGCTGATGATATCCAGAATATGCTTGGCCGTGTGCGTAATGAGAATCTTCCCAACCGGGAGAAGCACCATTGGCCCATCCACCAGATAATCCGGAACTGGACCACCCGTTGCTGACGGGATTTGACCATCCACCGCTAACGGGACCTGACCATCCACCGCTCCAGCCACCATTGTAAGGAGTGACGTCCTGGTGGTGGCTTTTGCCTGACCAGAATGTTCTCATAGCAACGAAGGCAGAGATGAGGAGGGAAATGATAGACGCTTGGATCGCCTTTTTCGCTAAGAATCCAATGACAAAATATGAGAGAACACCCAAAATACCAAGCTTTATTTTTGCGGCGATCAAAAGCGGCATAATTCCTTTCTTAGATCCTTTTTTCTTGCCTCGTGCTAAAATGTTAAAAGAGATTTATTAAATTAAGATCAATGAAATATATTAAGTTAAGTTTTTAAATAATTGTCGTAACACAAATAGAGATATGATAAAAATTATGTGAAAGTTTATTAATTCTAACGCTACCTTCAACAATTTCGTTGACAGCCTGACGAATTTCTGGCGGAGCAGATTCACTGAAGGCACGAGCTGATTCTTGGATTTTCTCAAAAGCAGATGCAAGATTTATCTGAAAAAAAATGGATGATTTATATTCAACCACGCTGTGTTTCTGAATACGAGATGAGATCTCTATAAGAGATGAAAAAGTTTATAAATTTTTTAAGTGATAACCGTTACATTAGGGTGCATTTCGGATTTCCCAAGTGACCCCCTCGTATCATTTTATTTTTGTTTAACGTTTGGTAAAACAACAATGTAATAATTTTAATAATGTGTTTTATGTACCCGGAGACTGCGACTTGTCAAGAACTGCCCAGCTTCATCGCTAATGAAGTTCTCGAGGGAATTTTGTCTTTCCGCGATATCATTAGCGGTATCCATCTCTTGATCATAAACAAGTTCCTTGCCAGACCTGGCATTGACGTTACTCTTCACGATACTAATTCCGTTTATAAGCTCTAGCTTATCCTTGGCAAAGAATTCTTTGGCGGTCCTATACAGAGTCTTCTGTACACAGGATATGCTATCTTGTTTTAGACACTCGTCGACACTCTGACCAGTGGTGAAAACAACCGCGGTCGTCAAAATTAAGAATTTCTTCAGTAGTTTCATGACTCCTTGCAAATTCCACGAGGTGTGTGACCAAAACACCTGATTACAGCACGCGTTTATAAAAGATATAAAAAAATTCGTAGATACCGATGGATCTACGAAGTCAAAATTCACTGAATAAACTTCGTGTGGAGTTAAATTTCGTGTGGTCCATGGGACAATCCGTTTAGCTTATATTTGGCGGGCCCCTCCTTTACGGACTCCATTACTACGGTCCCCACCGGCTTTTTTTTCTTCCTATTTGGCATGCATGAATACATGTTCACCCAATAGACGATAAGTGTACCTATGACCGAGGTTTGGCCACGCCACCTATCACGATGCGACCTGCGACCTACCTACGACAAAACAAATAAAGGCCGGGCATATAGATGCTATAAGAGGCAACGCCTTGAGCGCTAGTAAAATTGCTTTCTTTCAACAACGATCTTCTTAAGTATACTAGACTAACTTTACATTACATTACAGGATATGCAATTTTTAGTTGAATGTATTGGATGTAAATTTTTTTACTTTATATATTTGTTTATTTACTTGATTTTTAATCTTTGATTCCATTGAATTAAATTTTGAAAATAATATGAGTTTAATATTATTAGCGTTTCTCATATAAGAAATAATTATTTTAATATATAATAATATCAAATCACACGAATAACTTTGTGTATGTATATATTTTCAATAATATTTATTTTTTGATACTTTAATAAATTTTTTAATTTTATAAAATATGTGTGATAATTACTTCAAATAATGTAAGTATTTAATTCATGCATATATTATGTAAGAAATAGTGTATTATTACAATTATGTGATAAATTATTAATTTTTAAAAGTAGACTTAGGTATGTTCGCTCGAATTCAGCAATGTATGTTTCTAGTTTATCCTAATTATTTTACACATTTACATATCTAAAATTGGAGAACAGATGGAATCTAAATTTCAAGAATGTGTTAAATTTTATGTAAATAAATTCCAGAGAAAGCTCTTTCAACGATCTCTTAAACCTCAGTTTTAACTCTAATTGATTTCGGAAAAACATCTTATACATATCTTAATTTATATTAACATTGCTTAGGTTTTTATTATTATCTTCAATACAAAAATAATGAAAAATTTGATAAAAAATAGTCCCACACTATTTATTTAAACTACAGACATTTTAATTGAGTAGAAAATGTATAGTATATGAATTACGAAGATATTGAAAAATTTAATTGCAGCCAAACCCGTTCAGCAATAATGAATTTATTATAATTTCTGTAAACAGTAGCAAATTATGTTAAATAAGCTTATATGACAGCCTATTACATTGTACTTCCTAATAAGGAAAAAAATAATAGTAAATGATAGACGAATAACGTAATCTTTACGTCTGATTAAATTCTATACTCTTACCACTGAAAACTTAATTTCTAAAATTAGTACATGCCACTACACGAGACTCGTATAAACTCGTGTAAGCAAGTGGTAATATAGCTAGCGACACTTAAGTAGCTCAATTAGTTTTTTAGCGATCAACTATCGTTACAATTTAAGGAAAAGAGTCTGCAGTGCTCTCTTTTCGGACATAAATCTTTCTACGTGCGTCGTTTGGCGTTTAAGGAGCAGATACGGGACATGATCGATATGAATGAAAGAAAACTGGTATAGATCAGGTTCAAACATCCCGGATCCGACCTTCATTACAGCGCACGCGGACACCACTTTCTAGTGTGACCCTGCAACTCTCACGGGCCAACGGATAACGCTTCTTGTCATTTTCATTTCGTTTCTTCTTGAGGGGAGCAGTAAAGCAGTACAATGCGACAATCAAGAAAATCTTCACATTCAGTAAGCGTATATGTGCGGCGTGGGTTTAAATTCTGAGAAAGTAAAACCAATGGTCTACATATATAGGACTACATCTATAAGACTGTAACGCTATCATACAAGGATGTGTGCTTCCGTGACTAATCAAAATTTCCAATTTGCGGAAATATAATTGAAAAATGTATGCAAAATATAAAACTATTTACACCTTGGAAAGAGAGCAATGTATTTAAACAGGAATTAAATTTTTTTTACTTAGAATGTGTATGTGTGTATTATATTAGATGTTTTCTATAGAAAGTGCGTTCTCTCTCCTCTCTGGCTCTCTCTCTCTCTCTCTCTCTCTCCTTCTCTCTTTCTACTTTTTTTTTTATCTTCAAATCAGTTAAAGACATGTGACTTAGAACTGTGAAACGAGAAACGCGTTCCACATATTTTTATAGTAAACGACCTAATATTATGGAAAAGATAAACATCATCCGATTATAAATTTGCGAGACTTTCTAACATTGATTTTTTTATCTTTTAATATTACACACTACAATCATTACTTTCCTTTATCATTTACATGTTCAATAAAATGAGATTATAAGGTAGAAGAGAGGACGTAAAAAAATTGCACTCGTTGCACATTACATACACTTTACGTCCATTCTCTACCATTACCGAAGACCGCACGCGCTCTTCTCTTTGTTAATTTATGTACATAATCACTACGGCGAGTAAAGAAAGAGCACTCTCGTTTTGAATTCGGTCAACAAATTCTCTCGTCGTAAGAAGGGATTCAATGAAAAGCAAGTGCAACAACAACACAGTTCCCATTCCCGATCTTACGTCAATGCTCATTCATCCTTTCTCGGTCATTGGGTAGCATTCAGAATCCTTTCGTCAATCCTTCACTCCCAACAGAAGAGCAAGCCTTAAAAAGTAAAACCAAAGTTTCTCCTGTACATACAACGACAGCAATGATCGTTAAACCACAGGCACGCCCATCGCGGTAAAATCACTATCCTTTACGCGAGAATACAACGTTGTAGATGAGACGTATGATTCCGTTCAGTGAAATGCAGATTAAAAACGGATATTTCAATTAAACACAAATTACAATAACTCTCACTCTTGTCATACAAATGTATAGTATTAAAGTGATTATTACTGAAAAACTTATACTTGGCTTCTTATTAAAATATTAAAGTGGCAAGAAAATATGTTAATAAGGTATATTGCATACGTAGAAGATAGAATTGATATAATTTGCTCTATTACAATCAATAATTACATATTATTTTATTTGGAAAAATGATCAGAAAGGCTTATATTCTCAAATTAATCGATACTTCCTATTTTCTCTCTGTCTCAATTTTATTTTCACAGCTGTAAATATTTGTTTTATGTTAAAACAATTATTGTTAATTATAATTTAACAATTATAGTAAAGGTTAGAATACTATTAATTCCTTAATTTTCAAAATTTTCCTTTGTAAAAAGTCTTACATGAAAAAATTTTATTCTACATTTTTTAATTACTTTTTCATAAAAAATTTTCCTCTTTTCGATTGCATTACCAGTTTATTATATGTCTACATATTAAGGTCACCGACTTTTGGAGGTCATGGTGTTTTTCCAGACCGATATGCCAATGAAACAAAATGTTCCCACGGTATCTAGAGAATCACTCAAAAAGCATATCGATTTAGGACAGCAATGTCCATAAAAGCGTATCCAGCAATCGTGTTGCGTTTCCTGTCCTAAATCGGAAAGAACCGGTGGTCTTCGATATTCTAGCCTTCGAACTTGTCAGTAACTGGTTTAATGTCTGTCGATCGATTGTGCTAGGAATTTCTGATGCAATGTTCAATCAATTCCATTGGCTATCGACATGAGTACGACCTGAAAAATCGACCGGTAGCCAACCAGATCAAATTTGAATTTTAAATTTCTTTACGAAGTTTATAATGAGTATGGAATGTAACGGGGCACTCTTCCGCGCCCAACTGGTTCTTCTCGTCTATGGACCATAACGCGGTTGCTGTGCCAGAAACTGTGCCGGTAACTCTTTCCATGATGATCATTATAAGCAATAGATCACAAATCAGTCATATATATCTATATATTATTGGATTATTTTAATTAATAATAGATATTAGTAATGATCATAGAAAATCATCCAAGTCATATTTTTATTACAGTTATGAATAATTAATAAGGATAGAACAGAATAAATGATAACTTTATAATGACAATAGATATATCGCCCATTCATTCCTTTATACAGAGTTGTAAAAGATTATTTAGAATGATCAAAGGAAAGAAAATAATTGTTTGAGATAATCGTTTATTTCCATTAATCATCGCGTCGACAGTAATTGCAATTGATTACTGCTTTCAATCTTATTAAATATAATGAACTCGATTTGATCATAATAATTAGTATGAGTACAAAACGCGTTATCTTCATTCTTTCTCGATCATTAGAAAAGTAGTGCGATGGATATAAGTAGAAATAATTAAGCGTAAGAATGTACAATTAAATGGTGAAGAGAATATTTGGTAAATAATTTGATTTACGTAATCTATAATAACGAATTAATCAATAATAATGAATCGATCAATCCGACATTCCACGTAGGAAGAATGATAGCGATCGCAGATCGCTGAGAAGCGACCTGCTCTGCTCGGGACTGCATCGCCGTCTGAGCTGCTTTCAGTGCGAGTCTCCACGTTTTATGATATTCGAAACGTAAAAAAGGAAACGATCGGTATGTATGCCAGTGGGTCTTAGCCGGAGCTCTTCCTTCCCCTACCGCGCGCCGCGTGGAGAAAGAAGGAGCCGAGGATTGCAGTGGGAGGAATCCAACATAGAGAGATGCGTAAAGAGAAAGAGGATCCGTTCCTCTTACACACCGCTCGGCTCGATCGAGCCTTTCTTCCATCACGCCTCTCCTCTACCTCTTTCTCCTTCGCTGTTTTTTCCTTCCATTGAGCTCTCCAATCCGCTTTGGATCCACGTGCACGCGCGCGGGAACGCCGCGAATAAAAACAAGCACCGCCGGCATTTGTGTCTACAGACGCGTTCTCGTAATTTATCTTTGAGTCTGAAAGATTCAAATTGGCTTTCTCAAGATTCACACCGAATTCCTCAGTACAAATTGCCGCAGAATCCCGCTACATTCCAAGCTCAAATGACTCTAAATTTCATGAATCTTACGATGTCTTGTATGAAAAGATATCATATATAAAATGTATAATGGAATACCGTCGTATTATCGATCAGATTAATTGCATACTGTCGTATACATATAGTGCGATGTTTAACTTTCGATGCGCTATTAGTCTATTTAGGTGACATTCGCTATTATTAGCTTTGCGTCGCGACGTTAGCTAAGTAAACGCAGGTGAATATGCGACACGGTAGGTCGCTGGCACACTTTCCTCATTGGCTCGATTTGTTACCTCGTTCCTGCGATTTTCCAATGTTCCAAGTGTGCGAGTAAATGGGAAATATCGGCGGACTCGACTCAGCGAACCGTGTCGCTTCGTTTCCAAGCCTGTTATACGAAATGTCTTGTTAATTTTTAGTAATAAGCGACGTTACGCTGGCGCGTCCGAAAATTGCATACTAAACGGCGCTTCTGTTTAAATTAATTTTGTGATTTATATATCATCTTGTTTAACATTTAATTAAAATAATGCGATTTCAAATAATGTCGTTAATAAATGTAAGTTAAACAATTTGGCGTTTCAATCGAGATGGTAATAAATGTAAGCATGATATTTCGTATCTTCCAAACACGTATGCTTTATTAACATGTGTTGCACAACAATAAATACGTGGGTAAAAAAAAAATAAATAAATAAATAAAAAATCAAACAACATACTTTGGTTTCTTCGGTGCGTGTCTGTGATTTTTCACTGAGAGTCCTGTCAAAGTGGCAGATCAATGGAGATCAATTACCATGTTTCTCGCGAGCAAGCATTTGTTAAATATCACTTTCTATCGTATAACTGTCAATCAGTCATTGTCGTTTCGTCAATGTCACTGTCACTGATCTTCGCGTCGCGTCACGTCTTTAGTCATTTTCCAGCGCCTATTAACCCTCCTACCGCAACTGTGACGTTTGCAGTTTTATAAACTATAAAGAAACGAAAGCCACGTTGTGAAAAGCATGCGTGTTGCGTTAAATGAATGTGATGATGAATAAGAGGACAATGATGATGTGAGTGAAATGTAAATTACGTGAGCGTAATATCAATGTGCTGTTGTCAACGTAGTCGTATCTAGCCGTATCTATCTGAGAAGTTCGCTTTAGTAGCGATAAGAGAGTTGAGAAGCTGGAGAATCAATTCAATCTCGAGGTTGGTGCAATTAACGATTAAAAGCATCAAGATGGTCCTAAGTTAGCGTAAAGATGAGCGTATCCTCTGTAAGGCAACTGTGTGGAGTCAACGTCTACGACTGATCTCTTCTTGCGATGATGATGGCCAACTTCCTGCGCGTAAACGACGTGGTGACCGCCGCCGTGATCATCGCCGCCACCCGCTAGTTTCTTCACCGCTACAATCAATGACAGCATCAAGGCCATTGCCGAAACCATCAACGCCTTCATAGCTAGGAGACCCAATGCGCCGAAACCCATAGCAGCCATCATCTTACCTAGATAATTTAGAAAAAAAAAAGTAAATTTTTAATTAATACTTGAAATGTAAATTATAAGATAGAATCGAACGTGACATGAGATTACGTCGAAAACATACTGATTATGTAATAATATTATACACGTAATGATAATTAAATGTAAGTTTCTCTCCGTTAGATGCAATTGATAAAATTCGTATTATTTATTTATTATTTCTTAATATCTTAACAAAAGATGTAATTTATTTCAATTATAAAAATCTCTTTATGCAATAATGATTTACGAGCACTTACCCATCATGAGCATCATTAAAATGAGACCGCCGCCACCGCCCTTCTTACCACCTTTGCCGCCGCCAAAACCGCCACCGCCGCCGCCGCCACCGCCAAAACCACCGCCCTCCTTTCTCGCTAAAAAAAAAATGTAAGATTTTCAGAAAATTTTATAAATTGTCTCCAACATCTCTCCCATCAGCTGTGTATCGCTCATAATAAATTACAAACCTTCAGCTTCGGAAGGCAAACTCTCCTTCAAAGCGGTTTCAATATTCGGTGGGAGTAAAGACGGTAGCTTGACTCTCAGTTCTCTGCCTTCTAGAAATTGTAGGAAGGGTCCGAGACCTCCAAAGCCCTTCAAAACTCTAGCCTTTCTGGAAGAGCCAGGCACCTCAACCAAAGATATTCCGTCGAACAGTTGTATGTCCCGTTCCTTGCTGGTGGTCTCGAGGAGCTGTTGGACGATCTTCCGTACAATTCGCACTCCGTGACAAGAAACCGACGCGTTCTTCGAGTCCTCCGATGTGCATGACGTCGAGAACCCGGTCCATGTGTCCTTACTTTCGTTCGTGGCGGCGTCGATCGTGTCAACGATGAAAAATGCGCAGATTGCCAACGCCAGGCAGATGCCGTGTAGACGCCGGCGATCGATTCCCGGGATGCTGTCTATCCAAAGCATCGTTTCGTCGTGGAAACGAGCGTGTCACGTGTCGATAAAACGATTAGGCTCCGTCGAAACCGCGGCGGGCCCTTATCCCTGCGCTTTTTGCGTCGTTCGAACCACCGCGCGCGGCAAAACTAAGGGAACGTCGCGTGCGTATCGTGAAGCTGCGGAACCTACGGCGGAGGTCCGAGTGCTGCAGCGTAAGTGCTTGCAATTCCCATTTATATAGATCTACTTGAGGGTCGGTGATTGTACCAAGAAAAAAGCAAGGAGAACATCGGGTACGATGGCTGCCGTTCTCTGCTCTTGCTGTGCATTAGCCGGTAATTTTTCGTTCACTTAGATGCCGGTCTCTTCGACGATTCGTTTAATTCTTGTTTCCGACGCGTTTCAGAGCGTTACGGCGCGGTTGGCTTGCGAGAGCGAGGTTCCATCATCGACGCGGATGACGCCTTCACGCACCTTCCGCGCGCGCTCCCTTCCTTCGCTCATTTCCTTTACCTGCTCCACCAAACGTAATTCGCGTTTAGCGAGATCTCGCGCTATTCTAGATCACGTACTACTACTGGCTCCCGGATCATTCGCAGCTCTCTTCTCGTATAGTTCGGCTTCTCTTTCCTTTCTCTCTTTCCCGTGCTTTAGTAGAGCGGAAGAGAACGTACCGATTTCGAATCGTGATCGCCGGTATCGATCGTAACACAATCGTACGCATCTCTGATAAATAATAGGTGCGAGCATACCGTGCTGGAACCCATGCGAGAAACCAACATAAAATCTTACGCCCCGCCATCGCGCATCGATGCTTGCTCAGAGACAGATTATTTATTAGCGATCTTATTCCCGACAGGTAGATATCGTGTGTCAATGTACGCAGGACAATGAGGAGGAGGAGGAGGACCCCTTACGTAGCGGAGAATGCGAGAAATGCGAATTTATCGTGGGAAGGGGCAGGGTGTGGAGGAAAACGAGAAAGAGACAAAGGAACACCGCGCCGGACGAAGATGGGCAATGCGTGCGGCAGGAAAGGAGAGATGACTATCCAAATCTAGTTCATCTTCGTGTGCCTTTCTCTTCTGTTCCACTTCCCCTCACATGTCTACAACACCGCAGTATATACGTAGCCAGAGAGAGACTGATAGGTATAACTACAACTGATTCCAAATTATTCTTCCGTTCCACGACACGGCTCGATCGCATACGGACGATCGTGATCGACTAAAAACTTTACCGAAGCTCACGAGGCTTTAAAGACGGCGTTATCTATTAAAATTAGATTAATGTCCTCGAAAGCAGTTGCGCTTTATCGCGTGTACATGCGGAATTCATATACTTGCAGGGTTGGAAAAGTAACTTTACAACTTACTTACAAGTTGCTTTTTATTACAAGAATTAAGCATAACAAGTTTGGGTACTTTAATTTTTGTATTATACACATATAAGGTTTGCTCCAATTTTGTATTATTTTTTGTATTTGTACTCAAACACATATAAGGTAATCTAAAAAGTAATTTATGAGTAACTTATAAAGTGACTTTCCCAATTCTGCGCTTACGTACCGAATGATAGTTTTAATTAGTGCACGCTCAGCTGTGCTCTGTTTACTTTGAAACGCGGATATTTACGACTGCATTTGTTACGTATCTCCATTGTATTTTAGTTCATTCATAAAATGGAGGTTTATTGCAAATTTATCTCATGCAACGCGTAATGTTCGCATTTAAGTATCTAACGGGCCGTAACACAATCATGTTATCGTAACATTATCGCGTTACGAGATTTTCGCATTTAAGTGTCATCCTCTCTCTCTCTCTCTCTCTCTCTCTCTCTCTCTCTCTATCTCGCTGTTTTTTCCTTTACTTTTATTTCATTTGTTTATTATATTTAATTCTACTAAAACCTGAAGAAGTGACAACTAAATAGAAGAATTTGGTAAGTCCTTAAAAATTAGAGAACTCTTTTAATTTAGTAAATTTATAACTAACAGAACAATAAATCACCTACAACGAAACTACTAGTTCTATTCGTTGTTTATTTAGTTAGATATATATAAGTGCAAAAATCTAAATCTCACATTAACATTCTGTAAAGTTTTACTGTTATGATGTAAGTTTTGATTTTGATGTTACTTTTAAAACCGAAGGAAGATTATTTGCCATTTCTAAGAAAAATATATTAAATAAGCCGATACCATAATAATTACGAGATAATAGATCTTTCATAATGAAAATCAATTTTCATCACTTTGCTCTGTTAATATCTCCGATCTAGATAATTACATCTCAAATAAAGAAGAATCCAGGTTACTAGCAAAGACCTACATATAACAAGTCAACAATTAATTCCAGATCCGTCCACTTGTCGTGATAATTTTCTGATATCGATAACGCTAATTATTTGTCCGGCGATAAATAGTAAACCATGCAGGCACCGCCTACAAATCTCAGATAGTAACAGTTTGTAATAACAGTAATTGAGTCAAAATAAAAAATGTATTTATCAACGAACATCGGTATGTCAACGATATCCGTATACGATCGAGGTTTCGGACACACCAGGGACTTCAATTTCTTTCTCCATCACGCGTGAGAACGGTTTTCAAAAAAGAAAAAGAGAAAGAAAAAAGGATAAAGAAATTGGGTCAAGTCCGCGATGCCTCTGTACGTCGGAAATCGAAAGTCGATTACCTGAATGGTACGAGATGAACGGTACTCTCTTTCTGCCACGCCGCGTCTGTCTTATCTCGCGGATATCCTTCAAATCCTTCAAAACTGATCAGAATGGAGAAAGCATACATTCGCAAATGGAGGTCAACTTATTTCAATGAAAAATGTCTGGCGTATGAAGTGATCCAATTTTCTTCGATCTAGTAGACATACCTAATTCTTCTTCTAATATACATACATTTTCTTTTGTTTTTAATTATAGATAAATATTATATAAGTGCATTCCATAGATATATGCATATACGTATAAATTAAAAGATAAATTATATGAAAAGTGTACAAATTAAGTGATATTATTATTTTAATATACGATACACACATGTTATAAGTTACTACTAAAAAAAAGATTTCCCGATTTTTTAACATATAACATATTACAAGACTTTACAGTACACATTTACTAAACGCATATACATACATTACGTCATATATACATAAAGAGCTAGTTAAAATAATCACACGTGCTAAAAAGTTCTACTAAAAATCACAAATAAAAGAAAATGTTTCATATTTAATTTAATCACAATTGTTGTAATCTATTTAGATCTATTTGATACAAATTACATTTAAAATTTTATTTCTTATACTAATATTATATTTTATTTAAAAGCTGTTTTTTTCTAACTTAATTTGTCTGTTAACGTAGATTTGAAATACTTTACGTTTTACAGCTTTCTGTTATGTTGACTCAAAAATATAATTGTATAGTATATAATAAATCTGGTTAAACCAGCTTAATATCTTTAGTATGACTTTTACTGCTAAAAAAAAATTCGTACCTTACGTATAACTCTGCTATGTTGTATTAATGTATTGTAATAAATATTAAAGATAAAGATAAAATTCTTATAAAAAATTTATATTAAATCTATTGTTAAATTATATAAAATAAAAAAAATTAGACATAACTTCTTCGAAAAAAGAAATGTATAGAAAATAAATCTTTTACCAGCAAAATTGACCTTTGGCGGTTTAATACTTTCATAATTTGTTATTTAGTAATTGTTACTAAGATGTTTTAATTATTACACGTCAAATTCTTATCGTACTTGCAACATTAATTGTTTTGTTAAGTAGCTAAACTAACGAAATGAATCGCTTTGACGTGAAATCACAGTAACTTTTATTCTCGCATTTACGCGATGTTTTGCTCTATCCGGTCTACAAGTCGTATTAAATAGACCACGACTAACGATCGTGACTAAAATATTTGCTGCACAGAGTATCGTTCTCAGGGATTTATGTTTAGCGTAGTCAAGCGTATCCGTCTCAGTTTATACTTGAAAGTTTTTTTTAAGACATTTTAGTCACATGTTACTATTATATTAAAGAAAGAGGACAATTGTAGACTTAAATATTAAATCGATCAACATAAAAAAAAATTGGTAGCACATTAAAAGATTGCAACAGATTACTATTGTATTATATATCATAATTTTTAGTATGTTTTATTATTGAACAATTAGGACCAAGCTTAATTGTAACAAATAAAAAATAAAGGCAAAATAAGTATATGCAGAATTAAATTTATACGATATGTATATATGTAAATCAAGGATACCTTTTTATTAAATAAAATAATGACAATTATTTTTATGGCTGCGTTTAGCAGAGAAAGCAGCTTTGCAACTTGTAAAATTCTTCAATATGATTGGTTTATACACTTAGATCTATAATAAGCCAAAAGCAAGAACCAATCGTATTCAAGAATTTTGCAACAATTGCAAAACTGCCTTCTCTGCTGCATGCAGCCATTATTGATGTCTTTTTAATTAATTCTTGATTTTATTTTTATTTATTGAGGAGTATATTTTAATTTTTTTAACTTTATCAAACATGCCTATAAACTAAAATATAATAAATAAAGAATATATACATGTAGTTAGAAGTATAAAAATAAAATTTGCTTGTAATAACTTTTATAATTATAAATGGTAGATAAATAAAGTTGTATAAAAATAATAAATAATTTATTTTTTGTATAAAAAATAATATAAAATATATTATTATACATTTCGCAGTCTCATTAATCAGACAATCATAAATAAATTTACTTATAAATTTCTAAATGTATATTAAATTCGGATATTAATATTAATATAAATAAAATATACATGCTCTTTATGTGGTTCAGTCGTTATTTTTCGTCATTTTGGCTTTTTGCGTTGTTCTTCTGTTAAACAAGTATCTGTATAAACTTGTCTGTCTGTTGCGTCAAGTAAATCACTACAAGACTCTCTGTTAAAGATAACACATTCTAATTTATATAGTACGAAATAATCGTCAAATTAATTAACATGGCATATGTATAATTGTTTCACCATTTACTAATTATTTACAAGCATAGAGAGAATTTTATATACTTCTCTCTTCACAATTCATCACACTGAAATTACAGAGAAATCTTCGGAAAACTAATAAAAAGAGCTTAGACAATTTTTGATATCATATCACTCTGATGATGTCTCAATTTTGATCTTATTTCATAACATCTTTCTCTCTCTCTCTGATTTTAAACACAACATTTAAGTTAAAGTGATTAGCTTTGATAAATATAAAATTCTTAATGTTAAATATAATCTTATAAATACAAATATGGAATAAAAAATAAAAATAATAAAAGATAAAGAACAGTATTTTTTCATGTTCATTTAACCGCACATTTAACGTCAAGAATATAGTCACACGGTATAGCCTCTAATATTAAATGTAATCTATCTAGAATAAAGTTTCTATTCAATATGAAATGACTATATCTATAGCGCCAAATATACAGAGAGAATACAAACTGAAAGTAGAATAATTACGTTTAACTTTTAATGTACATCGTGAACATAATTCTAAGCTCTCAAGATATCACAGATCTAAATACTATAATGTGAGAAGCGAGAAGAATATAACGCTCGTACATAATTTGATGTTCTAATGACGAGAGTCTCGTAGTATATTCTGCAATTATATTCACAAATACAATCGCGAAAGTAGGTAGGTAAGATTCTTGTGATGCGTATCCTCCATACATACACGTCCAAGAGTTTCCTGCCCACGTATCCGTAAATCGTAATGTGACATCCTGATGTCGCCATTGTCATAAACACGTGCGTCGCTGTGTGTCACTGACGTATTCATACGTCGTATAATTATGTACGGAAATTTACAATACCAGATATTAAAGAAAGAAAGAAAGAGTTATAAAGAGAATCACAATTTTGATGATAAAAGAAAAACGGAAAAAAATCAAAGTAAAAAATAGGTAATTACGAATTATAGAAATAAATATTCTATGAAATTATTAGATCTAGACGGTGATTGGAGAATAAGTTTAGTACACGGATCCAAGCACGTCGCTTTTCCCATTTCAAACGACGATCTCAACGATTTTTGGATCCTCCATCCTATGATAGGAATCAATCACTTTACGTGCGCCGCATAAGCCAGCTCATGAGCATCTGGCTGCCCAGGAATCGGCGTTTGTTCGTGATAACTTCTTGCCCACCCGCTGGAGTAACTATCACCATGACCATGATCGAACGAATGGCTCGAGCCGTGATGTGGATGCGCTACCACTTCATAGGTTACGTGTTTCCCTTGCGAGAAGAGTTTCTTTAGGCCTATAATACTAGCCAATAGAAGCGCGATCTTCGACAATAGAAGAGCTTTGCCGACTAGGAGGGCGAGAGCCTTGAACGCTAGACCGCCGATGAGACCAATCTTCAATACGGCCGCAGCAATCAATGGACCCATATTGTTCTTCTTTCCACGGCCTACAAAAGACGGAACAAATTACGCTATTGTCACTTTCGGCGAGTTAGTCAAGCAGAAGACGAAGAAACAACTTTGCACAAATACATAATTATACTTTCCACGGAGAAAGCAATAAAGTTCGGTGATAAGCAGATGAACAAGGTAAAGGTGAAAGCTATTTGTTTATGCATTCGGTGACACAACTTTACTCGTGTGAAAACAGTGAAAATTGAAACCAGAGTAAAACTGAAACGTCACTTATATTTCATGATAATTTTGTCAAATATCTAGTTATTTAGCAGAATTATTTTATTAAACATTAATAACAAAATGTTGATAAATCTAAATTCTGAGTAATTAAAGTAAATAAAGTTTTCGTAAATTAAAAATAACTAATTGTTTACGTGAGCTTAACATACTGAGAAAAAATATCTTAATTTCAAAGAAATTTTCATTGATCCAAAAAAATAATTTTTTTAATATGAGCAAGGAAATATTTTTTTGAAATTAGGATATTTTTTCTCAGTGCAAAATCTTATCTTATAGCAGTATAGCTCAATTATCGAATCAAATTTATTTGTTGAATCTTTAAAATCTATATAAAGCATAGTGCATAATTAAATTTAATAAAGCAAATCGATTTAGAATGCATTTACTGCAAGTTAACGAATATCTATAATACTTAATTAAATTACATAATTCTATTAAAAATATCCTTTAAAAATTGTTAAAATAGTTATAATTGTAAAAGTTGTAATTACCTTCTTGAATGGGTCTGTCAGCGCGTTCAATAGACAGACCCAAGTTTAACGAACCGGTCTCATCTTCCGATGCGGATACAACAATATCATCTTCAGGTAGAATTCTCCATTTAATACTTCTCGATTTGATGAAGGTGTAAACTTTATTCGCGACAAGATCAAGGACTTGAATCTCGTCGTCCTTGCTTCTGCCGGCCTCGAACGTGATTACATCTTCCGACGTCTGACTCGTCTTTCTGATCTCGATATCGTCCGTGAGCTCGATCGAAGCCTTCTTCAACAACTTGTTCATGTACGTCACCAACTTCAACATCACACAACTGCTGATATCATTCTGAGAGCATTTTGAGTTGAGTTTACGAACAAGTTCCTCCTCGTACTTAGCTCGATCTGTGAGCGTTACAGACTGCTGCTCGATGACGCTTATCTTTTCCTTTTTCTCCAAAGGATTGGCCAAACATACTCCAAGACCAAACAAAATCAATATGAAAGTCGTCTTCATGGTGCTTTTCTGTTAAAACATTTCACAGCGTATTGATTAATGATTCCAAGATAATAGAAAAATATTATCTAACACTTAAAAAAACAAAAAGTATTTTTTAACTGAAATCTAAAATTAAAAATCTGAAATAGATAAAAGGTGCAAAAAATTAAATATAATAGATAAAAATCCTAACGATTGATCAAGATTCAAATTGAAACCGAAAAGCGATTTAATGTATGTACATGTAAAACAAAACAAATTTTATGAAATAAAACTCGATTTATATACACAGTTAGTTTATAAAAACAAATCACAACAAATTCAAATAAATGTAATGCTTGTAACGCATGACGAGATGCTAATTAGATGTAAAACGAGATACAACTTTCAAGTATGTATCTCCAAACGATGTACAACGTGCGCATTCAGTGATCCACGAGTAATGGAATGATAAATTAACCCACCTATTGGACCCGGAGCTTTAAAAATTATTTAAAAAAATAGACGAGAAGGCAAAGCAGCGATCTTTCTCTTGAACCGATCAGCTGGTATAATCGCCCGTCTATCGCGAAGAGTCCTTGTCTTCCTAATCCCGATACGTATAGATGAAGGAGTAGCACAAGACTTCTGACTCGCGTCTCGCCCCGGCGAGTTTATATACGTAGATCTCCGCCTTAGTAGACACCGAGGTGTGCACAATATCGTCGCAAGTTGACCCACCACTTCCCTCAGGAAGTATATAGGCGGCCTCTACGAGACGATGGCGGGTGGCGATGGCTATGGACGAATGGTAGTGGTGCCCACTTTTGCCTTTAACAGTGGCTTTGAGAGTGGCTGTGTAATGGGCTTGTTACGGTAGGCTCGGATGGTAGTGGGATGAATAGCTTCATGACTATCTTGCAAGCGCGTAAGAGAAGATCAACCTGATACCAAAGCTAAAGCTTATCGCTATCCTTTGCCCGCAAACTGGTTTTGCCGCAAAGATGCATATACACGTCGCCCGACGAGACGCTAGCGTACTTTTTTCTTGGGAGGAAGAGAACGGCGCGGCATCGCGTAATCATCGTCCTCTCCTGTGTATACGCGCAAACTGGTTCCCAACGATGCATGATGCATCGTGTAAACTGGCGTCGTAAACTCGCGAACGAGTAGCGGCTCATCGCTCGCACGTCCTTGTGTGTAGATGAAGAGCCGGCTCATGTACGACGCGCAAACGATTCATAAACAACCGCATGGAAACATGCGAGCCCCTGTATAGTTCTGATGGACCATTACCCAACCTGCCCGCCCGCGAGAACCGTGTCACGGATGTAGAGCACGCACGCCATCCATCCCCGACTCGCAAATGCGTAAGCATCTACCTTATAAGAGCGTGCGACTTGTACGGCACGTTAATCGCAGCTCCGTAGCTGCATCTTTTCACGAACCTTCTCTATACGCGCTCATAGACTTTTAGGGTAGGAAAGAAAGCCGAGAGATGCTACAGGAAAGCTGGGATAAACAAACACGCGGCTCGAGGAAATTACTGGAGCAGAGCAATCCGGCGGGGAAAAGATCCGTGAGCTTTTCAATTATCTCTCTTTATGAGATAATTTAATTAATTTTCCGAAAATCATGGAAAGCTGACCGTGACGATCGCGCGCATATGTCAGATTAACATACTTCGGCGGCGCGGCGCGGCGGTATGCAGATGCACCGGATACGCGTTTGTTCTAGAATGACAAGGATTCAGGGTATTGAGGAGAGAAACTCTAACGCGTATCGGTACATTCGCAATGGTTATGCGTGTAGACATTATATCTAATCAGACGTTACACACATGCACGTACACACGTATTGTCCGACGAACAACAATCAGCCAACTCTCGGATTCGATTAATTTTATTGCTTCCGTTGTTCCCGATATTCCTAAATAAGATTCTTATTGAGGAGTAAGTACTATCGGATATGTTCACTCGTCATTCATTAACTCACTCGTAAATCTGCCTACGTCATTTCGATTGCAAAACGAAATTAAAGTGCAAACGAGTAGAAAGCAGCGTTGCGTTACAACAATTCCGAGGAAAGTAAAGACAGGTAAAGAGAGACGAGCAGCAGCGAAGGTATCGTCAATTGCACATTTATCGCATTGCATGTGACGGATACACGATTTCAGTGCTATTTAGGCATCATTCATGAACATTTTTCAATGAGCAAAGATTATTAATATTTTATCGGACTTGTAATACCCGTTACACAATTGATCCACAACAGACAAAGTATATAGAGCTAAGAAATTATTCTAGAAAGTAACTATATAATCTACAAACTAAACTAAGCATTGCGAGGCACGTTTCACACAACTGCCAAGAGAGTTATGTGAACTTGGTATCAAATTTCATTATCTTAATGATTAATCATGTACATGATGTGATTTAATTAAATTATGAGCTCACACATACAAAAGTGAACTGTTATATAGGAAAATATCTCACTATAAGCTTATCTGACAAAATGCATCTTTTACGAGATGGATAAGATATACAATCTATGAAGAGATATAACATATGAATTCACTTTGTAATGAGAAAATTTTATATAACTAATTAATAATAAACAAGTCCCACAGATTTTCTCTATCTAAAATATTTTATCACTATAAATGCTGTCCATAATTATGGTAAACAAAATCAATAATATTTTTAAGTGATTTTATTAAACGTTACATATGTAATAATAAATAAAATTAAACCATTAATGATTCTAGACACTATTTTTCGCTCGTATGATAATAAAACAATTATAAATTACATATGTAATATTAAATAAGTTACATATGTAATATTAAATATATTACTATAGAGAATAATCTTTATAATCTCATCAACATGTATATTATGTTTATTTATGCAAATATAAAATGAAGATATAATACAATCACTCAGTAAAACGCGCTGCGTGAAATGGTGTTTAAGACCATATATTATAATCTAAAATATCTTTTAAATAAATCGAATACTGTTAACTGGATGGATAATGAGGCGTAGAAAATATCGAGGAAAACGACCATATCCGCCTCTCTCGTTCTTGAATTCAGCCCGTTTTCTTGTAAAAGCGACTTTCGCGGTACAGAGGTTAACGTCGCGACCTAGACGCGAAAGCTCGTCCATATACACGTTAACCGATCTTTCCCCACGCAAACTGCTCCTTCGTGAGACCTAAGGCACTCGCAAACAAGCGTTTTGGTGCTCTGTGCACCGTTACGTCGAATTCCGGACAGACACTTTGTCCGGATCCGGGACGTACATTTCATTCGAAATTTGTGAGCAGAGTGATATAATATGCAAATATATATTATAATTACAAATACATTTATATTATGCAACATTATTTCATCATTATTTTGAACCATTAAATTATTACTATCAAAAATTGTTTTTTTATTTATTTTTATTAGTTTATAAATCTAATTTATACAAATTTATGCAAAATTATCAAAACATAGATACTCGATGAAACGTAAAGTTTTGCGTAAATATCTTTGAGTAACTGTCTAGATCCCACACTAATTACTATGCAATAATTTGTAATTATTGTATTCTAACGAAAATATGATTTAAACTGAAAAAGAACAACATTAACAATTAGATCTACTCGCAAGATACATTGGCAATTATTATTTAGTGCGTATAACTGTACAGTCATATATTGTTACTATAGTTGAAGCGAGTAATGTAGGAAATCGCCGATGGAAATGCAGAAAGTATATAGAAGAAAGTTTTCATTCCTCACAAGGACATTTCCGGTAATTTAATAGAAAATATCCGAAAAGTCAGATGGCCCATTTTACATACGTATATGCGAGCATCGCTTTCGCTGCACTGCACTTACAATTCACGTGAGCGTCAGTGTCCTTGGTATAATTCGACATAGATATGCTTGCGTATCTAAGAAAATTTATGTTATTATAAATGCACTAGTTCGCACGTGCTACTGTGTTTTCTTTGCAACACGATGATCAAACTGCATTGTAATGTCGTAGCTTATATTTTAATAATCTTCTTTCACTCCCCTGTAATCGCCGCCGAACACAGAAAGATTAATTATCTTCTCTGTCAGGTGCACGTTATTGTCATGAAATACTTACATTGTATTCGAAAATTTTTCGTATAACATAAAACATCTTTGTATGTGTAATGTTCTTTTCATTTTCTATTAATTTCTTTTTTTATCAACAAGTGAATTGATATAAAAAATATTACAAATACGTGTACATCAGATTATTTCAATTTATTATATTCACATCAATATTTTTTATTATCTAAAAAAAGGAGTTTAAGTGTAACAGAATTTAATGTGACGCTCTTATTAGCTATTTAATTTTTAGTATTATTATTTTTTGTAATTGTAGTGTACATATGTTTATTTCTTTGTGTCTGTAATTATTTAATAAAAAAAATGTTTCAACATCCCTCAATTCTGAAGGGTTAAAACTGACATTTCTGTCGAATTGTTTTCCATAGATCGCGGGATGATCGGCAGCTTCCGGTCTTCTCGGCAAACGGGGCCACTTGGTCAGCGGGTCTGTTCTATCCGATTCTCTGGATCGCGAGTGAGAATCATATCGAACCGGTTTATGTATGTACAAGATAGTTCCTCGTTGTGCACCTGAGAGAGAACCGGTGTAATACCGCACATAGCATTTTCATGCAATTAAAGAGATATTTCGACAATAGTCAGTTATCTACGATTGATTCTACGACCAGGCTGATATTTTTAGATATTTTTAAGTATTTTTAAATAATATTTTTTGATCGAATAAAAAAATCATTAATTAATTATTAATTAAAACCATAAATTGAAAGACTTTTTTATAGTTAAATCAATGATTTAACAATACACAAAAAAACTTTCCATTTTTTCTAATCTTATTTAATGTAATATAAAATTTTACAACATATTTATATCTATGATGAGCTTAGATGTTTGTATTATTAATACAATGTAAATAGTTAAAATTTAATTTAAGCATCATTGTAGTGAAAACGAAATATGTTAATACTTATAAGTAATCATTTAACTCATTGATATATGTGGATCGATTCACGAAAGAATCAAAAAAGCTATAGTGAATCTTTCTTCCAAAGATTTATTTATCATTAAAAATTAGTTTTTTTAATGTTTAAAAAAATCTATTATAAGATTCAAAAAATTATATAAATATTAAACAAAATATTTAATCTGTTCATAATTATATTACTTTAAACTTAATAAACTTTAAATTTATTTGAGCGGATATTAATTTAATTAAATTAATATATTACTTTAAATATTTTTTAGTAACTCTTTTTTAATAAAGCTATTAAAAAATTGTTTAATATTAAATTAAATTTTAAATAAGCTATTAATTAAAAAATATATAAATAAGTACTATAATTTATATTTACTTATTGGTAAATATATTAAATTAATCACTTAATTTAAAAAACATTAATTTACACATTTATATGTATGTTATATAATAATATAATATAATGCACAGACTGATGAAGTTTTACCTTATCCTTTAAAAAATTGTTAGATTAGTTTTTACTTAGAGGCAACTATAGAAAGTTTATAATAAAGATGCATTATTTTCATTTTAATAGCAGATCAGAAAACAATTAAGCGTGTTCTCCTTTGCTTAATTTTATATCATAATTATTAACCCAATTGCGATAATTCTTATAATTTCTACAAACAAATTAATCATATCACGCGATACTGTGCATCGATTCTCGAAATTACGAACGTATATATACCATAAAAGTAGCGCAAGAATAATAGGTAGAAACTAAGACAATAAGAAAGTCAGTTGAATACTATTACGCGTATATATGTATACGTGTACAGAAAGATTCGAGTATTTCGACATTAAATAGATAGATAAATAGAGTATCTTTAAATATACATTTTATATAAATATTTTAAATGATACTGAAATTTTACACAGAATTTTAACTATGTGCATAATTAACGTACATTAATAAAGAACGGTTTATCATATAATTATATATGTATAATTAACATAAACACATATACATATCTAATAACGCACATAAATTAGATTAAAAAACAGATTTTCTTACGTTTCGATAAATATAAAAATCAATATAAAAAAATATATAATTAAAATAACAAACTTATATTTCAGTGTTTTTTTATTGAAAAAGAAGAGAGAGAAATATGTGATCTCTCGCACATTTTAACGCTCACGCTTTAATTAAATATGTACTATATATATACAAGATTATTACTTTTTAATACAAAACTTATTGTTAGTGTCAAATATGTACAACTAAATTAAAATAAACATTTCGTATATATATATATAGATATATAAATAATCTTCATAATTGAAATTGTATTTTTAACTATTTGATTATAATCTATTTTTTTTTAGAAAAATAATGTAATAAATAAATTAATAGAGATTAGGATTTATAATGTTGATATCCACGATATGCCAAATCATGACCATAGGAATCTATATGTCCATAATGATCTCCATGATAATCAAAATTCGGATGTGATTCATAATGAGGTTGAGCAACTCCGTTTTTAGTGTATACTGGTGGATAATAACTTGGATACGGTTTGTAAAGTTTAAAGAAACCTATTAAACCAGGTATGACGATTGCCAAAAATCCAAGAAACTTTTTGAATGAAGCCAATCCCAAAATCAAGGGCAGTAATAGTAGAAGTTTCATTTTGAAAAGCTTTACGACAAGCAAGAACGGTATAACAAATTTTCTGAGTTGATGACGAGCTAAAACAAATTCAAAATTCGTTTTAATAAATATTTAATAAATTAAAATAACTTAAGTAACCTAATCTCTTGCTTTTATGTTTTTAAATAGCTTTAACAGTTAAAACAATATTCAATAAACATATACAGTTAAGTTTTAAATTAAGTTAATTTATTATTAATTAATCGTTTTATAAAATAGTAATTTTCTAACGCTCCATTTAATAATAATTATCTAATAAAACATGAAATAGATGAAATACTTATAATTAATAACAATATTTATACTGTTTATAAATAATATTTATTAAAAATAATATTTTAATACTTATTAAAAATTTTTATTTTGCATAAAATTGTTTATATTTTAATAATTTGAATAATTTATCTGACACAGAAAGACCTAACTTTGCAAATAAATAATATTACACAATAGTATTCTATTACTACATACTTATACATAAATGTATTATAAATTAAGAATTAATAATAGCTATAAAAGATTAAGTAAATCATTTTCTTTCACAGATAGACTTCCTGATAAATAATTTAGATTATTCACACTTAACAATGGATTAACGAGCATTGTTTGCATATATACCATATATTATATTACGCCCTTTTCAAATATTTTTTATGACATTATAAAAATTGAAGAAAAAAAATTTTTTATGTAATAATTTCAAATAAATACTTACAAAATAGTGTATCCTTCTTATCTTCAAGTATATCAACCTCATCAGCGATTTCATTCAAAAATCTCGGTTTATATGCATCATTAAGATCAGTCTCCTCTTCAGGAATGGTTAATTCAAAAGACATTGTTTTAACAAACCTTTCCAACTTCCTTTTCATGAAATTGATCATTTGATCCCATTCTGTTTCACCGGATCTAATCAACATATTTTACTTTTAATTTAGAAGTCGCAGTATTTATATTAATAATTCGAGCAATTATTATTATTATTATATTATTGTATACATATACAATTATAATATATATTGTACATACTTTCATGCCTATAAAGATATACATGACATACCTAGGTTCATTGGAATATTCGTACGACTGATGATGTACTTCCCTTACAATTTGATCAGACATTCGCTTAACTTGAACGTTTTCATTTAAAGAATATTCGACATGATCGAAAAAGTCCGAAAAATAATTTAACGCTCGTGACTTGAAACATTCAGCTAAATCACCAGTTAAGCAACGTTCATTGACCTTTGCCAAATAGGGATCAACATTTCGTCCAGTTCCAAAACCAATATAATTGAATAAATTTTCTACTTGTTGAACAGGATTAAATCCTCTCTGTTGCAACGTAACTTCTTTGAGATTCTCTGAAATTATAAATTCATATATGTATAATTATGTTTTTTATTATTTTAAACAAAATACAAGTATTACAATGTAAAAATAAAAAAAATTGAAATAAATTAAAATAAATTAAATTTTCGTTAATTAATAATTATTAAAAATATTTTTTTAATTTTAATTATATAATATGAAGAAAGCTAGTTTATGAGAGTTGCGTATGTGTGAATTAAATATATATAACTAAAAGTATTGTTAAAAGTTATTAACAAAAAATTATTTATGTTCTGCGTCTGTTTTACGACTGTCGCGTGCACATACATTTGGCACAATTACATAAGACGTATCCGTGTTTCTTGTTACAAATAGTTTCAAAAATTAAAATACCTTGCTTATCTGCTTCATGTTCGGTAGCGCTGTCCTGAAATGTAACTTTCCCGGTAGACTGACAACTTGCCAGCAAGGATAATACCAAAAGGACTCCTAGAATTACCAACAATCGCTGCAGTTGCATTCTACTCTTTTCTTTACACCACCTACAATCACGTTCCACCATTAATATCGTGTAATAAAATAAATCCATATTTAAAGAAACACATCACGCATATAGATGTAATTAACATTTCCTACCGTTTTAAATGATATATAAATTACCGCAAATTACTAATTTCATCAATGCCAATTATTTTTATTTTGTTTGTAACAATACTTATTTTGCAATAACAAAATTAATATTGAAATATTTTAAATACACATATATTTAAAATATCTATATGCAAAATAAATAACTGTATCACTATATTGAACGCGGAATACAGTGCCAATGAAATATAGTTGGTATTTTTGGTTTTTACAGGAAACAAAAAGATTAAAATACGATTAGATTTCTCACCAAACTGTCAAATAATCGTGATTCGATATTCCTTACGCGACATCCTTGTCAAAAAACGTTCTCGTGGTGATTCTCAAACAGCACTTACAGGTCTGCGAGATCGACTGTTGGCAGTCGACGCACTGGTTCACCAAGTGCCGTTAGATGAGCGCACCAATCAGAAGTAAAGAATGAAAGCAAGCGGGTTTCAGATTCCAATTTCTGATCACGCGCGTATTCCACTTAAGTAATAGTAGTAATACGTATCTCAAAATCGTCTTTCTAACCACAACTCTTTCAGTTAAGTTGCGAAATTGCAAAATAAATTATTGCTCCATAACACGATTAGGAATTTTAACGATAATGGTGAGCTTTTATTTTTTAGAAGCAACATGAGCTGAGCAACATCTTATAAACAAACAATGAAAATAAATCAAAAACTGATAAAAAAAATGAGATTAAAATAAATTTCAAACTATTTGACAAAAAAAATTGCTAGAAAAAGAACAAAAACTAAAAATGATTTGAATTACATTAGATTTATATTATAACTTACCTTATCAATTGAAAGCTAAAGTAAGTATTAATTGGATAAAGCGAGAATTATTGATGTAAATGAAAATGCCGAATGTTTTAAAAAACTAATTAATACTGATTGACTACGAGTTCGACAAAACGTACTGAACACCGTTTTAGCCAAAAGTTGTATGACGCCTTGACACACGCAATATCTTCGTATTTATATGGGTGTACCATCGAGTATAAAGAGGGGATAGGATCCGTAAGTTGTTCCCAGAACGGCAAACAGGAGGATTTACAAAAATTGAAAGTGAAAGTAGTGTCCGGAATAAGAACCGGAACTGGATAGACTTAAGAAACGGAGACGGAAGGTGCATCGACGTAGGAGGGAGGAAGTCAACGTACTTTCATCTCCGGTTTGTACAACCCAACGTGCGTCATCGCACCATATTAAGGGATACAATTCTTTCCTATCATTACCGATACTTCTTTCTCTTGATTCATAATATAGTTGCTGAATCTCTATCATTTGTCGCCATAATATGAGCCATAAATCTTTTTTTTTTTATTATAAGATTTGATCGATTTATCACACTATTCTATGTATTTGTTGTAATTCACGTTTTTAACCTTAATTAAAAAAAAAACTCCTTTTCTTTCTTTTTCTTAACGTTTTATGTTCTAAATAAGGTTTTGATTACATAATTGATTATGTTGTATGCTGACGCATTGCGTTGCCTTATATTTTGGTGAAACTCATATGACTCATAATCTTTTATTGACGTACTCAATCTGTACATCAATTTATAAATATGTCATACAATTAATAGAATATAATCGCAATTTTTGAATAAAATTAAAGTTAGTTTAAATACACATGCGCTCTGCGCAACATGTTTCTCGCTCGCATTACATAAATTAGTATCTTCGTCCTCACGTTATATATAATAAATAAATAAATATCCAAAGTAACTATCATTCATCGCAAGATTAAATCTTGTACACGATAGTATTCGACAAATAAATAGGTATAAATTAAATATATAATAATTTTAAGTTAATTACGTTGTATTTTACACAACTCATCAAATAATCATTTATTTACGTTATTAAATTATTTATCGAACATTCATTCGTATAAATATTCATTTAAGAAAATTGATTTATTACAATTTTTTAAAATTTGCAAGATATTTGAGTGAATTAAACTCGATGAGAATATTTTTAACATAATTATTGATTGTAAGTATTATAAGATCGCGTTTACAAAAAAATAAATTCCTCTAATAATTAATTATCTAACAATATTTTCATTTAAAATCATAAGCAGATTTCATTTCTATTTTCATACAAAAATCGCTTTATTACGTGAGAAGTAGATTGAATCACATGTACCTGTCTCGTAATCTAAAGCGAAATATTATTATGTGTAAATTGATGTTCTTGATTGTATCAACACAGTTTCTATTTTCCAAGATACTTAGAAAATAATACTGGCTTGCCCACAATTATGCCGGCATGATTGAATGCCGCTTTGTTCTATATAAAACGTTCCCTGTTTCTACAATGCACTTTCATTGAATCTAGTAGTTGATTATATGCAAGAAAATGTTGTAAAACGTGTTTTAAAACCAAATTTAAATAACATAGTAAAAAATTAAAAAACATGTATATTTATAACTTCAATATAATTTTAACAATCTTAAACAATATATCATAATCATTTATAACAAAATACGTTTTAATTATAAACTTAATTCTTAATTTTCTTGAAAAAATAATAAAAGTTCCAAGACTTTACAGGTTTACATGCTAATATCGACATCTCTCGGGCTCTTGCTACAAATGATAATTTAGGAAACTGTGTATGGTACATCAAGATCTTGTTTAGTTTTAAAAGTTAAAGGTTTAAACAATGGCGGATTAAAACTGTCTCAGGAGCACTGATAACTAATAAGCGTAAATTAATTTAGAATTCTAAAATGCTATCCCAAATTTTAAAATCGAAACAATTTTTTAATATTTTACTTTTATTCTTAAAATTTTGTCTCAAATTAATGAAGGTATTGAAAAAAAAAATTAGCATTTTGCATCTTGAAGCCCTGAATGAGAGTCTCGACCGTAGTAATCCACCACTAAGAATATCTACGAACTTGACTTGCGCGCAAAAGGAATGTTCAATAAACGCTAAATCTTTTTAGCGATTGCACTACTGCATCCAATCAGAACTATAGGTCACTGCTCCTAAAGCTCGCATATTCGATGAAGCGATATGAGATACGTCTTCTTTTCTTATCACGTTTGCGATAATTAATAGTAGCAACAACGAAAGTAAGTTATAACGTTCTCAAATCTTTCTGGCCTGAACGAGCTTATTAATATCTTGATACGTCGCGAGCATCGCTTGATTTTGCTTGAGAGTCTGATCTTCACGAGCGTTCGCGCAGTTCGCATAAATCTCTTCGCACTTGACGCCATCCTGGCCATCCTTGGCGGATTTCATGTATCTGAAGAAACGCAAAACGTCGGGATTGTCGCTGCTGGGTTTCCTCAGCTCGTTCAACTCCCTAGATAGCTGAGCAGAGACCAGGTTTGAGTATGGCGCATAACGCGCGGGACTCCGATACATCGCGCACACTGCGTACTCCCTGCAGCCTTCCGTGTTGTGTCCAAGGCGGGAAAAGACAGCATCCAGACGTGACAGCAGGGGTGAGTAGAACGGGTCGTAGTTCGTCAGCAGCAAAGAGCTCGTCGGGATTTCATGGAAGACCTGTCGCCAATAATCAATATGCGTGTTTACAGCTACGTAATGGTCACTGTATCCGTTACGTGCGCGACTAGGCGCCGATTGAGTTAAAACGAAGCAAACAAGGAAGTGGGTCGCGCGATTCTCAAACTAATGTCAATAGTCGAATAGCATCAAAAGTGGAAAGCACGGTCATCTCTGTTCATTGACGATGAGAAAAAGTTCAGTATAAAAAAAAGACAAAGATATTCTTATGGCATACTTACCTAATTCATTATTGAATCAAACATTAACAAACAACGATCATTCTTTCATGACTGTGCGCCATTATTAATGCGACACAATATGTATAAATCAACATGCATTTTCTGATCTCAATTGCAATCATTCGATAAGAATAATTACCATTACATAATCAAGAATTCTATTAAATACTAATAAAAACAGTCTTGACAATTAATATATAGCTCCAATTAAACTTCCTTATTAAACGTACAGATAGCATTGCCCAATTAAAAAAAAGAAAACGTGGTGCAGTGACTTGAAAGCCATTTAATTACTTTGTGATAAGCAAATATATGAGATCTGCAGGTAATTGGCTGCGTTTAGCAGAGAAAATTGATCAGTAAGCGCTTAATGATTCTTTAATACGATTTATTCTTATCTTTAGTTCTTCGCTGGATATAACTGTACGAACTAATCAAGTTAAAGAATATCACTACGCGCTTACTAATCAGTTTTCTCTGCTGAACGCAACCATCGTGTATTACTTATTCAAAAAGCTCACCTTAAAATCTTGTGACTTAGAAAGTCCGTGTGCAGCCACGTGTCGCGTATAGTAACGATCCGAAAGCGCATTTGCGTGAGATATTCTCGAATCGACGAATCCATAGCGGGACGCAATATCCGGAGTTTTCTGCGTCTGCATCATGCTCTCGTCGTACATGGCGGATGCTGGTAACGTGCCTACCGGTTGTCGCGTCAGATAATCATCGTTATAAAGATCAGAATTATCTTTAAATTCGAAATTCTCTTCCGATGCCGCCACGGGCGCGGCATGCGAAGACTGCGCGAAAGAGGAAACACCTGAAATTTATGCGTAACATGTATTTACAATTTTAATTCAGGATGCTTTCTTAATTAATATTAATGATGATACCATGCGAACTCTTGCAAGAATACAAAAGACTATTTTCTTTAGAGAAATTCTATGGAGAAACTGTTTTTTTCAATAAAAACTTGATTTCTTAACTTCTTCAATTTCCTAATTAAACTTTTTCAATGCTTATACACAACAAAAATGAAATTTATTAAAGCTCGATTGAAAAAAGAACAAAATATATATAAGTTAATATGATTAAGTTATAATCTCTAAAGT